CTTGATTTATACAATCTAAAATATTTGTTTGAATTGAAATAAGGTTGATTTCAATGCTAATTAAACTAAAATAGTAAAACTGTAGAAATATCATTAAATATAAGATCTAAAATACTAGTTTATTTTTTCATTACTTAGGATTATTTTAAACTGACAAACTTAAAAATTATGATAATTTACATATATACCGATATTCGAGATTAACTTAAAAACTAAACTAATTATACGCCATAATAAGATTAGAAAATACTTTCTTCTCTTTAGATTACTGTATTAAGCTTACAAATATATCAGTTTTTGATTGTGCTAAATTTATACTTTACTTTCTAATCTCAATATTTAGTAAAAACGAATATTTATTTCAAATGTAAGAGTAATATAGATAAACCCTAGAATTTGTACTTAATGAATCAATATTTCTTTTTTACGTGAAGAAGAAAAAATTGGATAGATTGTATAAGTCATTCAATTTAATTTAGTTAATGAACTTCCAAATATAACATAATTCCAAGTGTTAGTAAGTTGTTGTATTCAAGTTGACTCCAAAATGAAATATTCTATTAACTTATAAAAGATTTCCATTATTTTATTATTGAACTTACCAAGGTTTTCATTTTTAATCCACAAATATCTTCTCGACTGAAATAAATATAAGATTTCTTATAATTATTGACTCTCTTGCCCATAATTTGAGTATTTTCATTATAAAAAATTAATTAAAGGTCCCATTAGAGTTTTTAATATAAAATATTCTTTTCCACCTCTTAAACATAATCTAATAAAAAGCTGTTGCACTACAAATACTTATACTTATTGCTATTATTATAGTTCAAATAAAGAAGGATCTTCTCTAAACTATTAAAAGGTTGTTTAAATTTCAATTTTCTAAAAAGGGATGTTAAGCATCTATAACAATAGATAAAATTAATTAAATATCTATAGTTATTGTGATTCATTATAGAATAGTGTTCTAATGCAAGCAGTCATGACAATGTCAAAATGTTTTTTACATCTAATTAATAAGTAGGGTAGGTGTTTTCATGTTCAAATATAAAAAAACTATTCTCTTGAAAAACAATATAAGAGATTAATAAGTGATATTATAATGTGGCTCTAAAATTAATGTTCGATTCAATAAGAGATGATGAGTTATATCATTAATTTAAGGGTAAGAATCAATTTTATTCTTATTGGGCTCTTTTAAATATAGAATAGTATCTCCAATTTAAAGTCTGCATTGCTTCAACCATCACCTAATTATTTCTGAGTGTTTGCTGACAATAACTTATGACATTAGAAATGACAATAGTTTAGAATAACTCATACCAAAAATGACAGATTAATCTAAAAATTTCTTTGTCAGAATTTATTAATAATTAATGCAGAAAAAAAATTATTCACAACCTTATAACATATTGTAATTTTTATGATACTCGCTTGTAGTCTTGCAAACATATCAATAAATTTTTTCTAGAGTTCATTGAGTGTAAAAAAACAGATAAAAAACCAAAACTTAAATTAAAGAAAAAAAAAATACACATAAGCAATAAAAAAAATAAATCAATGAACACACTACCCATCAAGTAAACAGTAAATAAAATATTAACTTATTTCATGTCATTTTCTTTATATTTAAATTTTTACATTTTTGTATAAAATATAATTCAACTATCGTATTTTATTTCTTTACGAGTATACTCATACCCTTCTCTTACATCCATTGTAACCCACGTACCGATTTTCATACCTTTCATATTATATTCTCCATTATAAGTGACAGGATTATTCCAGTAAAATTTCTCATCCAATTCCACCCACTTCCCAATCTTAATCTAATCCTCTTCATAACGATATGAACCACCAATACTAAGATATTATTGACTAGACTTATATTTTATTTACATTTATCTATTTCCTTCCCAATCTAACCAAATATCCCATCTACCTATCTTCATACCTTTGAAATTATATTCACCATTATAAGTAACTTAGGCATCTCTATTAAAGCCCTTCAATAACTCTACCCACCTCCCAATCTTAATATCACCCACTCCTTAATCATATGATCCACCACCACTAACATATTATTATCACCAATAATTTTATAATATTTACATTAATTCATACTCTGCTTCTTCATTTCCATCTTCATGCTCATCGTACTATTTATAACAAATATCCCATCTACCAATTTTCATACCTTTCATATTATATACACCATTATAAGTGATTAAAAAATCTCTATTAAATCCCTCCAACAACTCTACCCATCTTCCAATCTTAATCTATTCCTAACCATATGATCCACCACCACTAAAGTAATTTGCACCTATGCTTTTATAATATTTACATTATTTTATATTTGTTCTATCCACAATCACAATAACTAATATCCCATTTACCCACCTTCACACCTTTCATATTATACTCTCCATGATATGTGACTTAGGCAAAATAAAAAAACCCTTCATCCAAAACAATCCAGTTACCAATCTTTTCCCCTTTAAAATTGTATAACCCACCACCTCTAAATATTCTAACAATAAATACATGTTCTCATTATTATACAAATAATTCCATTTTCCTATTCTAAAATCATTCAAGTATTCCCCTGTTTCAAAAATCTGATCCTTTCTAAATATAACAAGAAATGTAGATAACTTACTTCCTATAATTTTTGAATAAATATTTCCATAACCCTTACTTTTAGCCGTTCTTATAATATCCAAAAACATCTTTTAGAATATTTCCATCCCAAAAAGCAATCCATTTGCCATCCTTCTTTTTTTTCTAATTATATTAACCTTACCATGAAAGATTTTGGATTTGTTCCATATTATTAAATATATCCGGATTCTTTCGTGAATGAAAATATTCTCTTTTTTATCATATAAATAATATTTACACTCTCAGAATTGCTCCATCTTTATAATATATAATTTAATGATCTTAGGTAAATTTAATTTGAATTTTTATTTTCTCAAGCCTTTCTAAGTTGTTATTAAAAAAGTCAACTTTTTTTTCTATTATAAGTTCCTCCCATTCGGATGATAATAAGCCACTCAATGAATTTTGATTTGAAATATTCATGTTTCTTTTAAATTATTTTATTTCTATTACTTTTAAAATACTTCTATTTAATTTTTTAATATTGTTATGCAAATTTTAACAAATAGAAATTGTTTGTTTTATGATATAATCCCTTTGAAATTGCCTGATATTATTGATATTTAAAATCAAGATAATTTAAAAAGATTTTTATATTGCATCAAACTTGATATATTTAATTAATTGATCTTTCAAACCAAAAAAATAACACGTAGAAATTTAGCCAAACAGTTTAACAAGAAATGATCAATAAGTAGAGTTTAATTCGCATGATTTTGGGATCAAAATAACTATATTGCTGCTTCTTTATGTTTTTATATAGAAACGAAAATCTCATAAATAATCAGATTAAAAAAAAAATTGTTGAATGATTTTTACGGAGAAATAAGATGATCTATAATTTACAGAAAAACTTTATATTTGATTTGATATCTTTTCTTAATAGAAATTTGTAATTAGTAGTGGATATAAAATTGGAAAATATTGCAATTAATCAAAAGAATTAAGTGTAAATAGATAAATTTCAAGTAAAAACGATTCACTATAATTTATTTCAAGGAATTAAAAAATAAATTTTAATTTGAATCATTCTATATTTTTAAAATAATCAAAAGAGACAATTTAGGATAAAATACTTGATTCTAAATTTATTTTTATAGTCCAATTCACTCAATCTACTCAATTGAAGATTTAAATAAAATTATTACAATTTAATATATTCATCAAGGAATTATTAATAATTTTGCTTAACAATATATATGGGAAAAATAACTAGAAAAACATTTAGCAAGCTTGCCTAATTTTCATTTAATTATGTATATATAGTATTCAGTATATATTTTTTTGTGATTAATATGGTTTTTAGTATTATTCATATTCTAATTACTAATAACTTTTATATAATAAAATTAAATAAGGCATGAGCAAATAGAAAATTCCAATAGAAGCTAATTTATTAGAAATAGGATAACAAATAGAGGTTTATTTATTTAAATCTATATAGTAATTAATTCAAGGGAATTTTAGATTTTCTTGATTAAATACTAAAAGAAACTTAAAACTAAGAATTAGGTTCAAGACTTTCCTCATTAAATATTTCATGACCTAAATTCTAATTATTAGATAGAAAGAATCAACAATTTGTTAATTAATGACNTTTTTTAATATTGTTATGCAAATTTTAACAAATAGAAATTGTTTGTTTTATGATATAATCCCTTTGAAATTGCCTGATATTATTGATATTTAAAATCAAGATAATTTAAAAAGATTTTTATATTGCATCAAACTTGATATATTTAATTAATTGATCTTTCAAACCAAAAAAATAACACGTAGAAATTTAGCCAAACAGTTTAACAAGAAATGATCAATAAGTAGAGTTTAATTCGCATGATTTTGGGATCAAAATAACTATATTGCTGCTTCTTTATGTTTTTATATAGAAACGAAAATCTCATAAATAATCAGATTAAAAAAAAAATTGTTGAATGATTTTTACGGAGAAATAAGATGATCTATAATTTACAGAAAAACTTTATATTTGATTTGATATCTTTTCTTAATAGAAATTTGTAATTAGTAGTGGATATAAAATTGGAAAATATTGCAATTAATCAAAAGAATTAAGTGTAAATAGATAAATTTCAAGTAAAAACGATTCACTATAATTTATTTCAAGGAATTAAAAAATAAATTTTAATTTGAATCATTCTATATTTTTAAAATAATCAAAAGAGACAATTTAGGATAAAATACTTGATTCTAAATTTATTTTTATAGTCCAATTCACTCAATCTACTCAATTGAAGATTTAAATAAAATTATTACAATTTAATATATTCATCAAGGAATTATTAATAATTTTGCTTAACAATATATATGGGAAAAATAACTAGAAAAACATTTAGCAAGCTTGCCTAATTTTCATTTAATTATGTATATATAGTATTCAGTATATATTTTTTTGTGATTAATATGGTTTTTAGTATTATTCATATTCTAATTACTAATAACTTTTATATAATAAAATTAAATAAGGCATGAGCAAATAGAAAATTCCAATAGAAGCTAATTTATTAGAAATAGGATAACAAATAGAGGTTTATTTATTTAAATCTATATAGTAATTAATTCAAGGGAATTTTAGATTTTCTTGATTAAATACTAAAAGAAACTTAAAACTAAGAATTAGGTTCAAGACTTTCCTCATTAAATATTTCATGACCTAAATTCTAATTATTAGATAGAAAGAATCAACAATTTGTTAATTAATGACTTATTAAGTAATATATTTAAATAAAGGAAATACTGAGAATAAATTAAAATAGAAAGATGAATCTCAAGATAGAAAATAATTAATAAAATATAAAAATATTTGAATATCTGTAAATACAAATAGTGTGAGGACTTTAAACTTTATTAAAAAAATCTAATGGATTTATTGAGAGGTAAGTTTTAGTATGTCTATGAATCCAAGTTATAAATGGGTGTGCTCATAGAAATTAATGGAGACATAGTAGTTTGATTATGTTTGTATTAGATAATAGAGAAGATTTGATAATTTCAAGTAGGACAGATTGTGGTATTAAATTTTGTATGAAATAAACTCAATACATATGTTAATAAACAATTTCAGAATATACACATTACGTAATAGGATTAAGTATGATTTTATGTGGATTTGATAATTATGAATTAGTAATAGAATGGTCATAATAATATTCTAAATAAATTTTAATTTAAATTATAGATGTTGAATGATAATATATCTAGATTCTAATGAGATGAGATATAATAAATATGTTTATGAAATGAATAATACTAATAAATAGTATTCAAATATAAGAGATATCGTTCTTAAGGTGGTACTGATAAATTGCTCTTTCCTTAATAGTATATAAAATATATAAAATCAAAATGTCTGCTTATTAATAAGAATGCAAAGTATGTTAATTTGATAAGGACAAAGGAAAATGGTCAATTTAAACTAGAAGAATCCAATGAATTTGGAGCTTTTGGCTATAAGAATCTATGAGTGACGAAGGATTATTTTTAATTACTTGGGATTCAAGTTCAAAAGAAATCCAGATTAGAAACTATCATGAATAATGAATTTAATTACAAATATTAAATATAAGTAGTATATAATTTAAATGATTTATTCTTTATTCAATTAATTAAAACACTTAAATATTAACTCTGTGGCTTTTTTTTGAGATTCTTCATTGATTTCTTATAAAAATTATGTTTTACATTTACTATTACTGATAAATACCAGGATTTGTTAGTTACAAAAATATAAAAATATTATTTAAAAAAGATATTTAATTAGATCTCAATTTAGTATGTTTTAAAGAATGTTGTTTATTTTAATCTTATTTCAATGAATACTTGTATAGTTTTTTTCAAATTTATTTCTTATTTTTTTCATAATTGATAAATAAAGATCTCATTCTGATTCATTAAAATTTGACTATTCAAAATCCTATAATAATTAGTATAATGTATTATCATTATATAATTCTAATCCTATAGATATGATTCAAATATAATTATAATAAGATTGAGATTCTTACTATAAATAGAAGTTATCAAAATCAACAAGGAGAGATGGTTGGTTATAGCCATATGTGCTTTCATATAAAATTGCTACTCGAATAGCATAAATTGTGATTTAACAACAAATTTTTAAGAAAGAAATAAGATAAGATATTCTTCCTTAAATTTATTCAGTTAACAAGTTTCCTACAAAAACAACTACACAATTGAACAAACAACCTTAAACCTCTTGTTAATCGAGAAATAATTGGCAATCATCAAATAAATCCAGATCTAATAAAAAACAATGAGCACTCAAATATCAGTATCAGCTTCACAATTTATTAATCCAGCTCATAACTAGATGTTATTGAGAAATAATGTATAAATAATATAAACATCGATAAAAAATATATATCATTAAATAATTGATTTACAAAATCCTCTAAAATTTCAGAGAATCTCCCTCATTAATGATGATTTCAAACGAGAATTATCATTATTTATATGCTCAATTAAATCTTTTAAATCATTTAAATCATTTTATTTAAATAATCAATCAGAATTAAAGGGCAATTCCCGATAAGGTTAATCCTGAACTCCATAAATCAATTTATAGACTAATTGAATGAAAATTATTTTGTTGATAAGTGATTTAATTAAATATGAATATAACGATCTGAAAATGAAAATAATCGTCTCTGTGTATATTTATATTTTGATTTCTCCCTATTGATTCAGATCGTCAAAATCTTAGAAATCTAAAAAGGATCTTATTTGGTTGTTTAAAATCAATATTATTTGACTTAATAGTTGATGTCTATGGTAATTCTTTTCCTATAGCAATAGACAAGAATGCATGCTAATTTTAGTGTTTAAGTATAATAACTTGATTATAATAGATAGGCTAAATTACTTATTAATTAAAATGATGGAATTATTTATTATAGATCGAATAACTTACTCCTCGACTCGGAAATATTAGATTCTGTATTTTTAATATTAATATTTTTTCATTTTAGAGATAAGCTTTCTTAATAGTTTTAACAGTTTTCTGATTGAACTTTATAAATAGAAGCCGAAAAATTTCTTATATTCTTTTGCAACCTAAATAAGATTCAGAAGAACAAAGGCAACTTTGTCAGCTTATGCAATAGGAAAATAAAAAGGTCATCCAAAAAAAATAGTTACGTAGATCACCATCAATTGAGCATGTTATAATTCATCATTCAAATTCTCAGTAGTGATATTGCGATATTACAACTTTCAATTGAACAGTATCTACCTTGATGTAGTATGCTACAATTTCATATATCTGTTGAATATTTGTGTTTGTGGCTATCTTTCCCTATTTTTACAACCAAGACTGATTGAATCTTAAGTTCTTTAATTTTTTAGTTATTCCTGCCATGGGCAGTATTAAATGAATCATAACTGAATATCAAATAGAAATTCAACCAATCATTAATTGAAATTTCTTAGATATTATTAATTAATTGCTTCTAAAGGGTGGATATTAAAATGCTGAAATACCAATTCCTTGTGGCAATATATATAATATAGAATTAACATTCCTTTGCTTAAAAATTATTGGAAAAATCAAAAACAATTTGTTATTTAAGAATATTTAAGGCAATAAATAAATAATAAGAAGCAATTTAATGCTACAATAGATAAATTTCTATTAATCATAACACTGCTTGGAATTTCTGACTAAGTTTTTGGTTAATTCATTTAATAACTTTTATTTGGATTATATAATTATTTTTCAGATAATAATCTTCTTAATATAAAAGCTGGTGAAATTATAAAAAAAATTTGATGATTTTTATAAAATGTATCGTCTCATCATGATTTTAAAATAATTGAATACAAATATTATATTTTCATTTTCAAAATAAACTTAATGAATATATATATACTCCAATATCAAAAGTATTTAATAAAAACTTCTGTATTATTGATAGAATATTAGATTCAAATTTGATAGAAATTAATTTCAAAGTCTAAATTCAAAAATTTGAAGAATTAACAATATGTACTTTTATTAAATAAATTGTAGTTAATGTCATGATAATTTATAAAGAAATATTATATAATTAAATTTATATATTAACTATTATTAAAATAAAATTAATTAATGTACACCATTCGATACAATTGAACATGAATACTGAATGATCTAATTTATTATTTATTGACATAAATTAATTAAGTTATTCTCCTGGATTTGGATTATTTTCTTAACTTTTTTTACCGTAAATTAAAATAGACTATTTGCAGAAAGCACTAATTTTAAAGTTATTTTAGTTACCTCATATATTAATATTCTCCTGATTTTCCAATTTGCAATATTTCAAACAAAAGAAGATCATTATTGAAATTATTAGTGAGTTTCTTTTCGGAAAGTAATTTAGAATATTAATTAAAGAAGAATTGAAATTAATTTTAAAAAAATTTTGCTCTTTATTTAATTGAAAAATAGTTCAAAGATTCTGAATTTCATAGATTCTTATGCATTTTGAAATGATATTCTTCATGAAAAAGTAAGTATCATAAAATAGGAAATACAATGAATGATAAGTATGAATATAAAATATAAAAAAGGTATTGATAAAAATGGGATTTGTAAATGGAAGGATTGGTTGGATTGTAACAATTTACAAGAATATTGAAAATTATATTAAATAAAAAATTAACAACCATTTAGAATCAATTAGAATATTGGGTAAATCTCTTAAAGGATTAGAAGAAATCAATAGGTATCAAATCAATTTTATCATTATCACCTTTTGAAAACCTACTCTAAAGTATTATAGATGGTGGTAGGTATATTTTAAAAAAAGGAATAGAAAAAAATTACATCCAAAAGAATCTTTTTAAAAATATGATCTAACTCAATGGTCAATTATCAGATAATTTAACTCAAAATAATCAGTCTATAAATAAATATAATTTTTGAAGGATATATTTGAATAATATATATCAGATTCTAACAATTGAATTCTTCATTTTAGTTAGATATAAATGATAACTGATGTCATTGCATATCATCCTATCATTAATAAGATTGCTTTATTTAAAAGATAACCTAATCAATCAGTAATTTAATGGAATCTTTAAATAGAAAATAATTTAATTAAATGTGTTTGATATAATAAGAATAAGCCAATCATGAGCATATTTTAAGATGAGTAAAAATAATGTATAATTTTGAATTGTCTAATTTATTGCAAGAATTTTTATTATTTTCTTTTTTTTTTGAATCTTAATTGAAAAAAAATCTTTGGGATTAGATTTTGCATTTAAATATGAATAAGAAAAAAAATAAGAGGACTACTAAATTATAGTGGCAAGCTCTGAAATAAAAAATTATTAAACAATCTAAAATCTGAGAAGGATTAAAATATTCAATTTATTCTGAAATTTTATAGTCTAAATTTTATAGTCTTTTATAAATTATTTCTGCCTCCTCATTTAAATATATAACAAATCACAAACAAGAAATGTCTAAGTTAGAAGTAACTAAATTACATTTGCTTGCTCTTACATTCAATAATTTATAATAAAGTTTATAAACTAACTAAAAAGATCTTTATACTAAGATTGATAATTTTGTTAAAGTATAATTCAAAGACTTTTTAGGAGCATAATTAGATTACTTCTTGTATGCTCCATTTATAAAGCTATCATTTTTTAGAAACTAAATAATCAAAGATTTAGATAAACTAAATAATTTTTTTAATTGGATAATTTTCAAAACATTTTCCTTAGTTTTGAAGTTTAGTTTGTCTAATTAAGTATCTTTAAGAAAAATTTTATAAAATCCCTCTACAATGAAAAATGAAAAATAGGTTTAATAAGTAAAAGTAATACCATTAGAAGAAAATATCATTAATATTATAGATTATAATTGTTATGGTAAATATATCAAGAAAATAAATAACAGATTGTAAAATGAAAAATTGTTAAAAAGATTTAAATTATCTAATACTAAATTAGAAACTTTAGAAGATTTATAATTAAACTTCATTCATTGTTAATTTAATATAGTAATTTTATAATATATAAAGTTATTCTACAATATACTATCGATTTTATTCTTCTTTAATTTTTGAATATCTTTAGTTAACGAATCAGTAATTTTAAAATTAAATGTTGAAAGCAGACAAGATTTTTGATTAAAGATATAAAGAGAGAGTTACATAAATCTTAATTCTCCTTGCTTTGTCTAAAAAAAGATGATTACATTTATTAGATTAATTGCAAAGGCTTATTGGTTTAAATAGGAATTAATTATATTTTAATCATAAATGAGAGTGATTAAAATAAAAACATAAATCAATAGTTGCATTATTAACACTTAATTTAGGATTTATTAAGTGATCAATAAAACTGAAAATCTATTAGAAATAGAAACCCTTCTAAATGATTATATCCAGAAACTTTGACAAAACCAAATAGTAAGGGAAGGATTACTTATATTTGGGTGTTTGAAAAAAGATTAAAGAATGAGAAATTTATTAAAAAATAAAGAATTGATAGAATTTTAGAAACAGCTTTTTTCTTAAATGTAGATATTTATTTTTAATAATATTCTTTTTCAATTAAATATTAAAATAAAAATATTTTTAATTGTTGAAGAATTATTTTTACATTTTTATTGATAATAATTTATCGCGATCAATAGAAGCTGAACTTATAAAAAGAATTACAAAAATTAAAAATTTGTAATAATAAATAAAGCTAGAAGTAAATCAATAAAAAAGAGAGTAATATTTAACATTGTTAAAGAAGATTTATGATGAATTAGATGAATCTTTAGATAATATTTCAGAAATGTCAGAAGCTATGAATATTGGTTTAATATTCCTTAAAGATATTTCTAGGGATATAAAGTATATAAAAGTTTAAAATGATCATTTATTTGTTAGTATAGATTAAGGAGGTGAGGATATTCATAAATTAAGAGAAAAAAATTACTAAGAATTATTAGCAATTGGAAAACAAAAAATATTAGCATAATCAAAATTAGTAGATAATATTTATGTTCTATACATCTACATATTTTTGTGAATAATAATACAATTCTGAATGACTTTCCAAATTATTATACATTATAGCATTAGTTAAATATTAGGGAATTCTAAGTATATTTCTTTAGAAATTGAAATCCTTTATGAAGTTTAAATAAAATTAATTCCTCACAAATGAAACTACCATTTATAACTAATTTAGGTTCTATTTACTTTATCAATACTCATGATTTCCGAATTACTGCTTCACCATATTTTTGCAGTATTTATACTTATGATTCTTCAAATAATTTATTAGAGAATGCTGTATATTTCTTTCTCTTGTTCGCTTGTTAAAATTCAATAGATAATTTAGCAAATTTCAATCTTTGGCTTTCATAGTAATTTGTATATTTAAGTATTAATAAATTAACTCAAACTTAAATAAACTGAAATTTTATAATTTTGTAGAATAATTTAGAAGAGGAAGCAAATTCTGATGCTATAGTTAAAGGGACGATCACTTAAACAAGGTAGAATTTTTAAATTAATTTCAAATCCCTATTTTAAAAAACCGCCAATACAAAGTTCAAAGCAATAAACTGATATAATTAGAAATTTAAAATAAATACTTTTAAGTATATATGAAATTTCTATAGAATTTTTATAGATTTTTAAATTATTTAAAATTTTGTTAGGTTTCAATTGTGTAATTTATAGTACATTTATGGAAACAGAATACCCTTAAGAAAGGTTGCTAGTAAAATTCAATAAAGCCCCAATACCTTAATTTTTTAGTAATGAAATAAATCAAATTAGGAATATATAACTAATAATTGGATTAGAGTTAACCTGAAATTACATTAGATTTGCTTCTTAAGTTTATTTTAAAGATGCTTTATGTGTAATTGATACTTTTAACGCTTGTTTACATATTTGCCTTTTTAACATATTATTTAGAAGAGCTTCAACATATTTTTTTTTTTTAAATGGTCAAAGCTATTTATATTACACTTTCATAGTCATTTTTATAATTTTTTTTTGGATCATACTTTGTTTTAAAGGAATAAAAAATGTAACTAATTTGTATATACAAGATGATTCTATAATGGACATTATTTATAATAATGACCATAATAATTATAATATTATTTGGAAATCTTTTGGGATTAATTGCACTTTATTGGCCATACTAAACAAGTATATTTATCTTAGTTTATATTGTTCTACTTGGCTATACTATTGTTATTTCCTTCATTATTGTGTTAATAAATGTTCCACCAGCCAAGTTTACTTTTGAATGTAATATTATTCAATAAATTTACTTAGAATTAGCAGCTGTATCAATTTTATCATAATTAATACTGTTTATAATATTTGTTAGTATATACAATGAAGAATGGTTCTTTATAGCAACTTGTTGGCTCTTTCATTATTTCTATTGCTTGTGTATGCTGTATGAAATAATCTAAATTTCAATAGGATATGTATTAAATAATATTAGCTAATTAGGATATATATTAGATAAATGAGTATTAACTTGCTGGGTTGATTCTTTATATTTTAGCAACTTGTTTAGCAGTTGGTTTTATTGGAATAGCAACTATTTATCTAATTTTCAAATCCATTTAAGTGTTATTTTTGGATTGATTTATCATATTAGAATTAAAATTTGATTTCATTCTCTTTTAAAAATTCAAATATTTGTTTTTTACATATTTCAATTGTTTTAATATGGATTAAATTAAATAAAATAACTTAATCCAGAAATAATTTAATCTCTAGGTTCAAATTAAAAAAATACTGTGAAGCTCATAATAAAGCCCCACCTTTATTTATTTGTCATGATATCAACAATAAATTACTAATAGAACTTGAATCAGTAAACTATATTGTTAATATCTAATATAGAAATTTAATAAACATACATTACATAGCACTATTAAGTTCCAATCGAATTAGAATATATGTTTATAATAGATAAGTGTTCAGTTGCCAGTAAGATGGTGGCTGAACTAGGGAAATTGAAAGTTCAAGGTATAATAAAGGAGTTGAAAGAAGCTAAAGAGAAGTTTGAAGAAGGTTTTATACTAGGAAAAATGATAATATTAGGTGAACAGTATGTAATTTCATTTGGTTCAAATTCATAAAAAATATTGAAAAATCATAATATTATAAGAAAAAATAATTATGGATAAGATTCTCCTCAAAGAATTATAGATTTAGTATAGAATTACAACAAAGTCGATATTAGAATTTATGTTTTAGGTATAGTTGAAGGATGCAATTAGTATTAATTAAAAGAGTGGCAGAAATTGGAAATGGCGAATGCAATTTTGTTGCAGATTATGAAGACATTAATTCTAAAGTTATTGATTTTTTAGTAGATTCTCTGACATAAAGGATTTAAGTTAGATTTAACAGAGATTTATGTCTCTCAAATAATTCTTGATACAGAATCGATAACTTCAATTAAAAAAATTAAGAATCGCCTAATCATATTAAGGATTTAGATCGAATTGTAAATTAAGTAACATTAATCTATCTACACTAAGGTTCATCAGGCATTATATTTATTATTTTTTTACAATTGGCCATTTTTGTTTTATTCAATATTCTACTCCAATCTTAAATAGAATTATTTTGAGTGAGACACTCAAATAATTTACCAACTCTTCTACCCTAAAAATTGACACAGAAATTTAAACTTAAAATTAATAAATATCATTTACATTTTAATTTAAGTTAATCTCTATTTGTAGAATAGTTATGATTCTACTCATTATTTCAGTCAAGAAATAAATCAAAATAGATAAGCCTACGTGTATCCATTTTAATACATTAATTATTTTTACTTTATAATTTAAAATAATCAAAATGATAAGGGCTTCTCAGATCATAAATTATTTAATTAGAAGTGAATTCAACTGATCAAAGAATTTAAATCATAAACTAAAAATTAGAATTGATATTTTGATGGTACACTCTTCGAAATAATAGTATTAATGCTCACTTATAAAGTTTTCGGATAATAGTAGATTAAATAAGCATTTAAAAACTTTTTCAAATATTCAGGTGATGGTTAAAAGAAGATATTTTAAAGAAGGATACTTTAAGATTTTTTTTGGTAATAGAGGAACCTTAAATATAAATTCATTAATAAGCTTGCTATAAAAATATTTATATTATATTTGATTTAGCAATTAAGAAAAATAATCACCAAAAGTTAAATTTTTATACTTCTTCCTAAATTGGTGTAAATTCTACCTTTTTAACTGCTTGTTTTTTCAATTTAATACATGATATCAACTTTTTCCATTTTAAAGATAATAATTCTTTTTATTTTTCTTAAGAGGACTCTTTCCAAGCTAAAAAATTTTATTATTATTCTATTAATTATACCCTTACATCTATACCATTATGAATTAAAATATTTAATTAGGAGAATTTTTCTAATAATTTATTACAAAAATGAAGATCTATCGAATCAATAGCTAAATTTCTATAATTTAAATTTTACAACTTAGAATATTTAGATAATACTTATTCAAACAGATTATAATAAATTTTGCTTAAATTTCATCCATTTTTTAAGTAAGTTTAATCCTTTAGTATTTATTTAAATCAAATTATTGTATTTACATGCTGTTAATTAACACATGAAAAAATCTTAATAAACTTGTTTATACTAAATTTCTTTATAATGTTTTTATATTAAAATTTTAGTTGTTATAATTTTCAACAAATTAGTATTGTAAAATTCATTATAACATTGAATTAATAATTATGATCGATTAAAAGATAGAATAGAATAAAAAGTTCAAATAAATTATTTCATAGAGAATTGTATTTTATTCAATTATATGCAAAAACAACCTTAAGATATTGAGAAATTATCTAGTTTAGATTTTGAAACTAATCAAATCTATTTTATTATTTTTGATATGTTTTTAGGATAAAATAAAGATGATTATGACAACTAATTCGTATATCTATTATTCCAATATATAATTAAATAAATAAATCTTATATTTGATTTTGGAAATAATTTATTCAACTCTAATAATCGTATCAACTGATATTCAAATTCTAAAGATTAATTTGATATTGATTTAATTGTTTCTATTGATTCGCTTAATTATTAAAAATATATGTTCTATAACTCTATTTTTAAATAAGTGTAATATTTTAATTCTATCGACAAATCGTACCGAATCATCAATTCTTTGATAATTATTGGATATCAATAGTAAGAGATTAATAATTAATTGTTACTCAAACATTTGATATATCTAAATAGGTATTATTAATTAATTTATCTAGAAATTTAAAGATAGATATATTATTGTAACAATCAAACTATTTAACTTAGTATAAATGATAACTTAAATATTTCTTTAAATATTTTAATTAAATTACGAGAATTCGATTAAGATCCAATAAATATTAATAAAACCTACCACAAATAATTGAACTACCCAAGAATAATTTCTTTTTAAATTTGAATATAAACTTACCAACTAATTTGATTATTTTAAATATAAGCACAATAAATTACGCCTCTCTTCCACCTACATCATAAAAATAATAATTTACTATGTCCATTACTTCTCTAATGAAATTTTTGTTCTCATAAAAAAACAGTAAGAATTAGAATAATTTGAATAAACTGATAAATCTACTCTCTATAATAAGAGCTCTTTGAGTAATGTAGGCTTTATATTTAGTTAGTTTTAAAGGTAAGGTAAAGATTTACTTGAATGATTCTTATACTGAATAATTATAATTATAAGATCTATTATTATTATTTTATGTTTGACTTATTTCTTGATATTTATTTATTTATTATAATTAGATAAAAGCAATCAGAATAACTACTATTTTATAAAGATATGATAATAATTACTAATGTGATGACTCTAAAAATACATGGTTTTAATGATTCAATTCTAACCGTGTCTATTTGAAACCACTTACTAGCAATTTAATCAATATTTAAAATACATGGCAATTAAGTTAAAATACCTTTTTTAGGTTTGTTATGAGAATTACAAATAACATTATAATCTCTGAAAGAAACTTTAATTGTAAATACCATTAGATTGATATCTAATCTAATATTGATAAGAATTATGCTTTCATAAGTATGTTTTATTTTAAAATAATAAAGAATAATTTAAATTCCTATTATGGATTGTACTTCCATATCATGTCGGTAAATTAATTAATTTTAGTTATCAGCATTATTTGAAGACAGTGAAAAATATTCTTTAAATATGGAATTATGTTTTATGTTAAGATGAGATAGATTATGTCTGTAAATATAAAATCTAGCAGTTGAGATTTCAGAAAGAATAAAGTGTAGAATACTCTATTATTATTTATAAAGGTTAACTGAATGGAATTCAATTTTTGGTATAGGTATAATCATATCAAATTTATTAATGGGTCATAAATATTTAATATTAGTTTAAATAGTATTGAGGAAAGAATTAGAGTAAATCAAAAAATTGAAGAAACCTCTTTCTAAACCTGCTTTATAATATAACTGGGATATTGCACCTGATTCATCATTTATTAAGTTACAAATAATTTTGGCAACATTTTAACATTTTTGAGAGAGTTTGTTGAGTGAAAAATTAATGACATTTCAAATATTTTAAATCCTAAATTTAGATAACTAAAATAAATAGATTTAAGATACTTTTACGATATTTTATCTCTTGAAATTTATTAACTATTACAGATTTTTAGAGAATATTGTTAGGAAATGTAATCCTAGTTCTTTTATGTAATAGGTGAATTTGTTTAATTTTAAAAATAATATAGTAACTAATGAAAATAATGATACATTTTATTTTTAGTAATTGTATTTGGAAAAGTAATAATCAAATATGCAAAGGTAAATTTATTTTATTTTTCAAATAGAAATAAATAATATAATCATCTGAATCAGAGATGAGTTATTGTTCAAATTGTCTATCACTCTAAAAGACCTATCATTCTTATAAATGATTGAAAATGACTGCTTGTTGCTGCTATTTAAAATGTGCAAAAAAATGTAAAATTTTTTTATGTATCAAAACTGTATAAGTCTTGCAATATTACGAAAAAAGATAAACGGCAAGCATGGCTTGTAAAATTACTAAATAACTCTTTAAATTAACAATAGGATACTAATTTAAAAAAACCACGTAGAATAAAAAGGAAATTTTATACAATAATAATAAATAAAAATTTTATTTAATTCAAGAGGTGAAAAAATTAATAAATCATTCATCTAATAGTTGATACCATAAGAATAATTTTTACTAAATAAACAATTTCAGTATAACTTAATAATTAATTAATCATTTAAGAAATTATCATATTATTAATTATTTTTAATTTTGTTCTAATATTAATCTCTAATTATTATTGACTAAGGCAATTTTCTTCAATTTAAAGTGGAAATATAAAATTTAAAGTTAATAAAGTAAAAGCAAGACTAGAAAATTAGAAGGTTTTAAATTAAAAAGAAAATTTATGAATAGTATGAAAAGTGATAAACTAAATGAGATAAAGGGCTTTAAACAAATAATAATAAAAAAATGGTTTAAAAATCTTTATTATTTTAAATAAAAGCATTACACTACTAATGTAATTATTTTGATAGAAGTTTATGATGAATCGAAAATTGTTTAAAAAAGATTTGTTTAATTATTTTGAAATTAAGTTAAATAATAAACTTATAATATTTTATAATATTTCTAAGTTTGATAAATATGTTTGATTAAAAATAAGGAAAATTATATCTATAATACTTAAAAATGTAAAAGCATTCTAGAACTCTTTAGTGGTGGTAGATCATATAACTAGTTGAGTTAGAGGCAATGTAAATTAGTTATGTTGAGGAGTGCTGAATTTTTGATTATTTATACGTAATTTATAAGGATGAAAGTAGAAAGGGCAATAATGTTGGGAGAGGGGATATCTAGTACAAATAACTTTGCAGGAAGAGTAGATGATGATTATAATTGTTCAAAATTGGTAGGCAATTGAGTTGAATGGTTTTATTATTGTTCATAAATTCCTTAAATTGGCGAATATAATGAAGGGGAAAAAGTAGGAAGAAAATCAGAATAGGAGCAAGAATGTTTTTAAAGATGTAATATTAGAATATAAATTAAGTGAAGGAGAATAATATGATAAGCTCATATTTATAACTATAATATCATCCAATTACAACTTCTTATAATCATAAAACTTAATTTTCACCTTGCTTTAAAAGTAATTTCAATTTTCATGTTGTATATGGTCCTAAATCTATAATTCTATCATTATTTGAGGTATTAAGCAATTAAATTTAATCATTGATAAGATCAAGAAGAAGCATTTGAAAACTTAAAGACTATTAAGAATAATCCAGAATTTAAAAAAATATAATGATATAAGTTAGATTTCAATAAAATAATAATTAAGCAAAATTTTATTTGACGAATAATAAACTAAAAAGAATAATCAATATGTCATGAAATTTCATTTTTCTAAATTTAGTAAAGAAATGAATATTATTATAATAATGGCTTTTGTAATCTAAACAAATTTTTCCTAACTGTGATTCACGAATTTTATCAATCAGTATTTTTCTTTATAATTAATGTATTTTTTGCTCAGTAAAATTCTTATGTTTTTAATTTTCATTTATTTACTTCAATATTTTCTCAAAAATTATATTACTTTTATTAATAAATCAATCAATTATTTTTTGAAGAAAGATTAAACTTTTTTAATCTTCTTAAGTTAATTTCTCAAACAATTCTATCTCTCTTTTTACTTAGTAATACTTAGACTCTCTAATTTCTATGATAGCCCTTATACATTAATAAAATGAAAAAAGCAAGCAGTCGATATTCTTAAGACTTATTCCTCCGATATTGAATCTTCTGAAAATCTAACCAATTTGGATTTTCTCCTTTTAATTTTTAATCCAAAAGTACACAAACCATTGTAATTACCTATTAAACAATCATAGGAGGATGAGCCAATCTTTTCATCTCAGTTTTATCACCTTTATTTAATGATCTAATAACTTATTTTGCATTTTATTTTCTTTGCAATAGGTCCTAAATATTTTCATTTCAGGATTATTTTATTTATATTCTTATGCCTTTAATGAACTAATTGATAATTACTATTTAATATGAGCAATTCTATTTGGAATCATTTAAATAACAGTCCAATTACCTCTATAGCTGACTAATCTAAAACTTAGGAAACTTCTAAGGTCAATAAATTATAAAATTTAGTTAAAGACTTCAGGTCTAACTTTTTGAAGCAGATTCTAGGACTATGGAGTTTGAATGCTTAAATCCTATCATTACTAATTAATAAAATTGATATTAAGAAATAGGTTCAAAAGAATAGATTTTTGCTCATTTAGCTTACTTTACAAAAGCAGTAATTCTTTTAAAAGTTTATCTAACTTAAAAAATACAATAATTTATTTTTGAGGACTTTAAAAAATTAATTTTATGTATTTATCAAATATTTTCGATATCAACAAAAAAATTAATCCATAAACTAATAAACCAATTTTTCTAATATTTAAATTTAATGATTATATAGAAATATTTTCTTATAAAAAAATTAATTATATATCTTTTTCAGGTAATTAAGACACACCACTTGACGTTAGGAAATAAGATATCATTTTTTCTTTAAAACAATTAATAATGAGTTATCTGAATTTAAAAATCAAATATTTAAAAATAGCTACAATTGATGAAATAATAGAAATTGATAAAAAATATCCACCACATTTAATAAATCATATCCATATTTTTCTACCGCCTGAAAATTAAATATATAATTTTTCTAAATAAAATAAATGGAGTTTCTATATTCGCTTCTTATCTAGAGTTAATCATTATATAGAAATGAATAGCCTGGTTTCCAAATAGTTGCAATCATTCTATTGATTAATAAAAATTATGTTGAAAATATCCTATACTTAATTTTTATATTCTTCATAAAACCAATTATTTTTTCTTTGCTTTACTTGTTTTATTTGATCTCCTTTTTTAAAATCTAATATATCGATATATTTTAATATCTAACTTATATGGCAAATTTTTTATAAAATTTTCATTATTTTATTATTAATTTTCCTTATTTCTTTTCATTTTATAAATTGTTCTTCCAACAACTAGTAGTCCATATACATACAATACATTTTTTTACTCTTTTAACTACATTTAATTATAATACATTATTATATTTAGATAGATGAAACTTTTGGACTTTTAATTTATATAACAAAAAGTTAATTAATTAAAATAGGCAAAATTAAAAAAATAAATTGAAAGATATTATTATTTATTTTAAAAAGATTCTTATAAATTTCAATGCCTCAAATAGTATCTGATTTTATTGTGAAAGTTATGGACTATCAAATAACACGAAAAAAATTCTTGAAGCATAAGTTAATTTGTTAAATAAATGGTTTATCTTTAAGTCTTGGTTCTTTGGTGTAAATTAATTTATAATCCAATTACTTACTTCCTTATCAGAATCAAAATCATTTGATTTTTCAATTATTTAGAAAAATATGATTAATTTGTAAATTAACTTTACAGTTTCTGTTAATTCTGTTACATTACAAACTTTCTAATTAATTTTCCAGTTAAGATATCTTTTAAAAATAATTCTTATTTATTTACATCAGAGAGTACAACTAGTGTTTGTTAAATACATGTTAAAGAAGGCACTACTCATTAATGTTATAATACTTGATCATTTTTAAGAATTAATTAATTCTGCAAACAAATTATTATCCAAAAGATCAATAATAAGTGCTAAGCGATTGCCTAGAAGATATAATTTTGGTTACTCATAACATTCAGTAAATTCAAAATATCTTTCTGGTTCATAAGAAATTAATTTTGACTTATTAATAGACAAATTTAATTCGAGATTTCAGTATTGTCAGTTATGTAATAAAAGCTTTATGATTATTGATTATAATCTATTTACTTTACCTTATGTTTTGTTTTGACGATTCTATCACTTAAGTTTAGTAGTAAGTATCTCAATGCAGAACTTATATATATTTGTAATTGCTGAATGAATAATTATTATTCTTTCTGTCCTCGATAAAAGCTTTACTTTGACCAAAAAAAAATAAATTTTTTGTTCGGACTTATTGCTAAGCCAAATATAAAAAATGATGAAAATTCGTCAATCTCATCAATACAACTATCCTCATAATTATATTCTAATTCTTTCCATTTAAATTTGAATTTAAGAGAAATAGTATTTCAATATCTATTTTCTTTTTCCAATCTTCATATAATAATTTAATGATAAATAAATATATGTTAAAATAATAAATAAATAATATATAAAAGTTGTAGATTTGGAAAAGAATGACTTTAAGATATAAAAGTATTCTTCTGTATCCAAGTCCCCTTTTTGCTATTAGATGATTTAATAATAAGTAAGAGTTTAATGATTCTACTTATTCTACTTAATTTGTATTTTAAATCTTCTTTTGCTTTCCACTTTAAATTTGAATTTTATTAATACTGTTACAAATCTCATTTTTAATCCACTTCGATGACCTGATGTATATAATGTTCTAGATCTTATTCTATCGCTCTGATCAGTGTTTCTAAATTAGCCAAAACACTTTTACTATATTGATATGTGTTATTAGGGTGTTAACTTGAACATTTTCTTTCTATAATATCTGGTCGTAGCATTTATTATTTAGATTTTACCTTCCTGATAAAAGGTATAGATACCTCTCAATGTTAAGGCCTTCTATTTAAATAAAAAATTTCTAAGCATTGTTTATAAATAGTTAGGTATCAAAAAAAAATGCAAATTTCTGTAAATCCTTCAAACAAATATTAATATGCAAAATTACCCTTACCAATTTCTTTAAAGACCTATGTATCCTCATTATGTTTTCAAACTATTTTAACATTAGTCTACAAATTATATTTACTTATTTTGCATTTTTAAATCTAAAATATCTTATAACTATAACATGATGTATTCAATTTATTAAAATGAATATTATTTACTTGACCCATTTTATAATCTATATTTATCTAATAAAAACAGTTTAGCCATAATTATATAAAAAGGAAATTTTGTTGCAAAGCTAAACCCTTCCAATTTAGCATAATCAATAACAAAAAAATAAAAGGTATTGCGCATATCAATCCAAGACCTTAAAAAGAAATTTTTATATTAAGTTCTATATTCCCCTAGAGAGACAATAAATAAGATAATATTACTAATAACCCAACTTCATTATAAACCTATTCACATTTTCTATATTTTTTCTTATTGTTTTATTGAACCTATCGAACATCATCTTATAAATTTTTAATTAAGTTTATTTATATCAAGAGATTTTAATAAAACTTTAGAATTAAAATGAAATGAAAAGATCGCTTTTTATCAAAATCATTTAATATAATTCAACCTTTAATAAGATATAAAGGATATGTTAAGGAAAGCCCCAATCAAAAATGTTCAACTATCAAAAACAGATTATCTGTATTTATACTAGAATCATATAAAAATAAATTCATATTGAAAACAAAGGAGACTTCAAGCAATAAACTGATTTTTTTTCACAATTAAATAGATATTGATATTTTAAGTTTCGATATTTTCACATTATCAATGTTAAACAAAATTATTAAAATCTTGAATAGTATAAAATATTGGTATCGCCCTTTCTCTATTTAAAAATTAAATTAAATAATTCCCATAATTAATTAAGAAAATTACAGTTTTTTTAAATTTAATATAAAATATTTTTTTCTATAAACAATTATGCTAGTAAATATCATATTAAGTCATGTAAATAAGATTGTAATAATCACAAAAATCGAATCCTATAATCATATATTGACTAATGAGCAAGATTAATAAAACAGATTATTTCTAACTTAAATATTTCCATTATATAGTACAAATATAAGTAATTCTCAATATGTTTACTTAATTTAACTGAATTATAAAGCATAGTGCATGATAAGACTGATTAATAATTAAAATATTGATAGAATTCTTTATGATTTCATAAATAATCTGTGTAATGTATTCGCTTCTCTTCAATCGTTGTCTTTGTTTTTGGATTATCATAATTGAAAATCACTTCTAAGTAATTATCCATGAAAAGTCGATCGAGAAGCTAAAGATCACTTACTTATGCACAATTATCATTTTACTCAAGTCAATACAACACTCGAAAAGTTTTGATAAAATTAATCCTTAAGTTTGTAAATTTAGTAGAAGAATTCAAGAGACTGTTGTGTACATTGTAAATTATGCTTGATTGATTTTTTGCATATACTTTTTTTAGAAATTATTAAACTTTACACTTTCTATTGTTTGCGAATCGTAGGCAGTAAAGAAACTAAAAAAAAGTGTAGATAAATATTTTTTTTCTAACTCAAACCTTCCATTCTGGTATTATAATTATAATTGCTGGACCTTTTAAAGGCAATCATTCGGAAAATAAATAAACTATTTCAATCTTTAGAAAATTTATTTTAACAACAATTGGCTAGTATAATTCTTTATGAAAGTGATCCTTTTGGATGAGCTATCAAAAAAGTTAGAAAGCCTATAAATTAGAAAATTTAATTTACTGAAGGTTCTCTCATAATTTTTTGTCAATATTTTATAATTCTATTAATAAAATCATTATGAGCGTCTAAAACTTTTTTTTATTGTTTCACTTCTTATTAATTATTATTTCAATATATAAAATTTACTCAGCTTATTATTGCATGCAAAGTTTTATTTACGATTATATAGAAAAGATTTCTTATTCTTAGGTCACTGCAAGTCTATCTATTCAAAAATTTAATGGATTCTTTCAGATTTTGTTTAATTTTCGACCTCAATCTGACATTCTAAAATACTAAATTTAACTCTTAAATAAATTTAAAGAAAATATTAGAATAATTTAAGTAAAATTAAGGAGGGAAAATTTTTAAAGTTGGTAAACAACTAAAATGCTTGGACTGATTTTAAATCCTGAAATACTTCTTATAACTGTTTCTTCTACATGTATTTACATCCTCTATAATTCAAAAACAAATGATGTATTCTTATTTTGAATAGATTGTGGAAACGCTAAAACTTACATTCAATACATTTCTCACTCACAATATTTTAACAGCTAATTTAATAGACATCCTTACTATTTTTTCATTTCTTTTTTATTACATCAAATTGGTTCTTAATATTTTGGATGAGTATAATTAGAATTATAATATTATTTTGATGACTATTCTAATTTTAATTTATATCTTCTTGTTTTGTTAATGAAAGAAGAATTTATCTTTATCAGTCATATTACCCTCAAATTCAGTGATTAATAATAAAGGTTATTCCCTTGTCTAACAGCATTATATGTATTTCATTAATAAGGGCTTCTTCAATTTTAGAAAAAAACAATAGAATCTCTAATAGAATTTTAAAAATTTAATATATACGTCCTCTTTAAGTTTTGCTAATTATATCAGTTTAATTCTGCTATTTATAAATAATATTATACAATATATCAATTAAGTCATAATTTTTCAGAAAAATATAACCTGATATTCAAATCAAAAGCAATACATATAAGCTTTTAATGCTTAGAATATGAATTATCCCGTTTAACAAAAAGAGTTCTTCCATATTCTGATTACCACAATCAAATTGAATCTGGTTGCTTTTGATTGGTAGCAGTTTAGCATTTAAAGATTATATGAGAAAATAGTCAGTTATTTCTAATTGATCTAATGATAAACCCTAAGCACTTTTATGTTATTTCCATTTCAATGCTCATTATTATTACTTTTTAATTAAAGAAAATAATGAGAATACATTATTAACTTAAAATTAGAACCAATAGTCTCACATGTGTTTTTTAATTTTAGAAAGGATATTTTAACGCTGGTCAGCATATATATTCATATATGGCAACAAACACTATTTCAACAGCAAGCAGGATATATAATGGATATAATAAAGAGAAAAGTATTTGAGCCTCATGACTGATAAAGAAACATAAGTACATTGTGAAAATTCTTTAACCGTATCTTCTCAAACTCAAAGTCAATCAAAAAATTAATATTTGGCCTCAATTTTAGATAAAATAAATTTCAAAATTTTTCCTCCTTTTTCCTACAATCTGCAATTGAATTTTTTATAAAAAACTAAATGTATTTCATTGGGATTTAGTGAAAAAATAATTTCTAAAAATTAGGAAATGAAATACTTCGATTTATTAATTTAATTAAAAACATTTTCTATCTAATAATTCATGATCTTTCTAAAAGAAATATAAACAAACTTCTCAAAGTTCTATTTGAAAGACATTTTTTTATTTTTATACCATAAAATGTATAAATTAAAAAATATTCTTGAAAAACAGGTGTTTCTCAGGATAAATCATAATTAATATATTAACAAATTATTAAATTAAGCTTTTAAAAAGATTGAATCAATAAATATAAGCAAATTAGAGACAAGAAATTTCCTTCAGAAGAAAGTTTATCTATTTAACAGACTTGATGAATATGATAAATATTTGTCAACACATAAATATTCACCAATACAAAATTTATCATTCTTAATGAAGAAATTTAAAATTTATGATAGCGAATAGTTTGTAAAAAAAATATGAATTAATTTTGAAGTTTAAATACAATATTTTATAATTTAAAATTTAAAAAAATAATCTTCAGCTGCAAATAATCATATATATTTTAGACTTCGATGATCTAGGTTTCATAAGCAATTAAGTTGTTTTAGGATCCTAGAAGAAACCAATGATGATCTTCTATATTATTAGCTATGAAAATTTTTAATTATTAATTATTTTAAAAATTCTCACAAGGCAAAATTTATGATTTTACTTATGAATTTTATAATCATGAAGAAACAAAACTATTAATTGTCTTTTTATATCAATAATCAAGTTATTATTATTCCAACTTAACACCCCATAAGCGGATCGATTTATCGTAACTACCAGATGCTAATCTAGTACCATCAGGAGAGAAACAGACTGATAGGACTGAATATTAATGACCATCCAATTTGGCTTTTTATTATTTAGTCTTAAAATCCCATAAACGGACAGATTTATCATCACTACCAGATGCCAATGTAGTACCATCAGGAGAGAACTATGCTGTTTGTACAGTGCTAGTATGACCATCAATTTTGGCTTTTTATTATTTAGTCTTAATATCCCATAATCGGATAGAGTTATCATTACTACCAGATGCTAAGGTACAACCATCAGGGGAGAAGCATACTGAGTAGACAATGCAAGTATGACCATCCAATTTAGCTTTTTATTATCCTGTCTTAACATCCCATAA